GGGTCCTGGGATCGAGCCCCGCATCACGCTCCCTGCTCAGCGGGGAGCCTGCTTCTCCGTCTCCCTCTGCCTGCCGCTCCCCCTGCTTATGCTCTCTGTCAAATAAATAAATAAAATCTTTATTAAAAAACAGAGAGACTCTTAGAACACTACTGATACCCACAAGTCCCTCATGCCCACGCCCTGGATTAGGACTGCCTGGTTTTTGAGCTTGGCAGAAATGCAAGTTTACAGTACATAATCTAATTGTGTCTGAGATTCATTCACATCATTGTGTGTAGCAGGTTTCCATCCATTTCTGTGTAAATAACAATATCAAGGAACTGCACAGTGGGTGCACGTCACTGTTGATGGACATTTGGGCTGATACAGACGGTGCTGCTCACACTCTTGTACGGGCCCTTTCACGCACACAGGTGCACGTTTCTCTCACGATTACATGTAGCGGTGAACCTGTTGTTGGTGCGTGTGTGTGGCTTTTTAGGGGGTTTTGCCAGGTGAGCATCCTGCGCACAGTGTGTGAGCGGTCCTGTTTTACTAACACCGGGTGTTGTCGGTCCTTAATTTTAGACGTTTCCATGGTGTAGACTGGTGTCTCATGGGTTATTGGTCTAAATATGAAAAGCAAAATGATACAGCTTCCAGAAAGTCACACAAGAATATACGCATGACCTGGGCTTGGCAAACATGTTTAAACAGGATATATAAATCAATTGTACTACATTGAAATCAAGAACTTCTCTTCCTCAGAAATCATAATCAGGGTGGTGAAAAGGGAGGCCCCAGAGCGGAAGATATTTATAATTTAGTCACCACACAAAAAACTTCAGTGTGTTCATCCAAATATACTAAAAATTACAGATCTGTTTTTTAAAATAGTTAGACAGCCCTACTGACCAGGCATTTCCCACAAGAAGACACCGAGGTGGCCAGTAAGCATATGAAAATGTGCTCAACTAATGTCACCAAGGAGAAGCAAATTGAAAACACGGGAATCCGTTTCCTAATGGGAAGAAAATGTCAGGAAGCAGAATCCTCTACGAGTGCACAGCTCAAATGCCCTGGCCATCCCAGGACAACGTCACACAGCCGCGACCCAGGGTCAGGACTCCTCCAAAGACACAGCCACCTCCCGCTTCTTCAGTCCTGGGGTCACGGATGCTCGAGACTCAGCTTTAATACCTGGCCCAGGCAAACAGGGAGCAACAGTTACGGGGTGCGGGCCTCAGCTGGGTTTGTCCTCACGACATAGGACGTCTACCTCTGCAGATCTTCAAGGAAGACGATTCGTTTGGCCTGCCGCCTCCACCATCCCAGCCTCCCACCTCGTCCTGCCCTGCAGCTCCGAGCTAGTCTTTCCAGAGTGGAATTGTTCTCTTAATCACCTATAATGCCTGGAATTTACCCAGCGCCTGCCTTCTGAGGAGCTCAAAGTCATTTGCAGATCCTGCTGGTAAAATGGCTGCCCCGTGGTCAAGCTCTCTGCTAAATTACTTCTGTGCTAAGAGGTAGTTTTCACAACGGCTCCTCGACAGTCCCGGAGAACTGGGGCGCCTTTATGAGCTGGCTCTGTGCTGGCTGGAGCCCCAGGAGGAAGGCACTGTTCATCCAGGCTCTGCAGGGTTATCCGGGAGGGATGGTGTTCTCCATAATTATGGGAGTGTGGTGATCCAGGTGGGCTGATGCACCTGCAGACCCAGCCACATGCTGCACCACCGCTCATGCCTGGGCAGAGGGAAACTGAGGCAGGGCTGATCCCAAGGAAATGGGGAGACTGGATGCAGGGAAGAGGGGAGTGTGTTTTGGTTGGGGAACTGAGGGAGAGCAAAGCAGATGGGGAGAAGCTCAGGACCCCAAAAGTAAGTTAGGACTTACCTGCATATCTTCCCCTTTTCAGCAAGGGGTCCCTTGGCTCCCTTCCCAAATGCGTCTCCCAAGCAGCCCACCATTCAGACAGGTCCCATGAAGGCAGGGTCTCGGACACCCTTCTGTGGACCCATCCCTTCCAGACAGGAAGGGGCTGACGTCGAAGGCAAGAGCCATCCCTCTGGGGAAGATGGAAGCCATGGGCAGAAACATGTCCTGGGGGATGCCCGCCTGAGCAGTCAGAGAGGCAGGACTGAGCCAGGACCAGGGTGGCAAGGAGCGGTCAGCCCCAGGAGTTTGGGTCGGGGAGCTGGGGTGGGCGCGGAGAAGCAGGGCATCGGTGCCGAAGGAGGTTGGCAGAGGATGCAGGAACCCTCAGCCAAGGGGCTTGGGCCTGGGGGCCAGGGTTCCAGCTGACTAACTGGGATCTCGCCATTTCCATTCACACCCCTGACACCTCATGGAGGAAGTGTGGATGCTGCCCATACAGGCTCCATGGGGTAGGGCAGGGAGGGAATATTCCAGAGACTCAGGAAAAGGAAGCGTTCCTTTGTGCAGTTTCCCTCTGTGCTGGTGACCAAGAAGCTCCCTGTGGTAAGAGAAAAGGTGGGATCCCTTCCTACCCCCTCCCACCTGGCCTAGTATCTCCCAAGAAACTGTCCGCAACTGCTCCAGCTTGCTGAACCCCCACCCCCGAGGGCACCAGACCCACTCCAGAACCCCAGAAACACGCCGCAGGGAAGAGGCCTGGACAAGCTCCCCTAGCAGAGCCTGGCTTTCTGTCTCATTGTCCTTGGGTTAATTTGGGTATGAGATTGAGGGGCACTGGCTAAGTCTGGCGCTGAATCAATCTTGTTTATTGTCCCCGCTCCCCCAGAGCCGCCAGGTGGGGCAAGACCTCCCCGGTACCCCAGACAGTTCAGCCCAGGCTCTGGTTTGCTGAGTCACCGGGGAAGGGGCGCCACAGGCTGACAGCCACATCACGGCTCACCTCCACCCTCAGAGGGACGGATCTGCCAGCGCCCGACCCCCCAGGACCAGGAGAACTGTTTAGAGGCGGCACACTTAGCTTTCATGAGGTAGAAACTAACATTGCCCCAGCGCAGGCAAAACCTCCCCAGTCAACTGGAAAAGAGGAGGTGCCACCGCAGGGCCCCTCGACAGGCCTGGCCACCCAGCAACCCAAGCTCTGACAGGGTACGAAAGCCTCAAACACAGGGCCTCCTTCCTGCAGCGCACCCGAGCAGGAAGTATCTGGTCGCCAGTTGGCAAGCTGGGTCGGTGTTGGCCCGGCCTCCACGGCTGCTGGGCTCCTGGGACAGGGACTTCGACCCCAGCTGAGGTCACAAGGGCTGAGGAGGCCGAGACTAGGTCGGATGACCCTCCAGGCCTTACTGAGTCTGCATCCCGTGGGCCCCGAGCAGGAGCTGGCCATGTCCTGGAGACGAAAGAATTCCAGAAGTCTGGACCAGGCTGGAAAACCACAAGGCCGTTTCCCTCCCGCTTCCAGAGGTGCCTCGGGGCTCCCTTGCTTACCCCAGAGGCCTTGGGTTCAACTCCGCGTCAGCTCCTGCCCCCTAGATCAGCTCTGTTAGGGCCGATGCTGTCTGAAGTGTAGCGGGGAGCGTGGAAAATGAGCAGAGACCGAGCTCGGCCATCAGCAACGTTTCCACCCAAGGATGCACAACCCAGCAGGCCATGGGCTGAAGCATCAGGATGGCAGGGCCCCCCATGGGGGCGCCTGGGTGGCTCAGTTGGTGAAGCGTCTGCCTTCGGCTCAGGTCATGATCCCAGAGTCCTGGGATCAGCCCCACAGTGGGCTCCCTGCTGAGCGGGGAGTCTGCTCTCTCCTCCTCTCCCTCTGCCCTTCCCCCTTCCCCCTTCTTGTGCTCACTCTCTCACGCTCTTTCTCCCTCAGATAAATAAATAAATAAAATTAAAAAAAAAAAAAAAAAGGATTGCAGGGCCCCTAAAGAAACTCTAGGAAGGGCAAGTCACCAAGGCGTCCCACAGCCCCCTCAGGGCCTGTCTGGACTGAGTCACGGGTCCTCGAACACTGAGGCATCCCATGGGGACCAGAAGACCCTCTGCCTGGCCCCTCTCCAGGACGATCTGCCTCTGGTTACGGCTGTGTTTCTAGGCACAGGGGTGGGGTCTGGGCCCTGGGCTGCCGAGCATGAGCACACCCCCCCAACCCCCACCCCCTGAGACACGCCACGGCCTTGGGCTCTGGGGTCCACAGTGGCTGTAATTCCAGGAACACTCTACTCCTGAGGGCTCAGAGCCTTGTGCAATGCTTCCATCCGTACTCCAAAAGGCTCCGAAGCTAAGTGGCAGCCTGGGGAGCTCGCTGGGAGAAGAGACCCATCTGCTCACTGCCTTCCCAGAACCGGCGTGGCAGGTGGGTTCGGATGGGCCTCGCAGGCCTGAGCAAGCGTCCTTGGCTTGTCCTTGGCCATGGCTTCCTGGAAATCCCTGCTCTCTCAGCCAGCCTGGTCTTACTACCACCGACCACAGCTCCTGGCCACGTGTGACGTCCTTGCGGCTCTGTATATCCAGGTGCCCATCTGCTCTCTACCCTGGCCTGTTTCAGGTCAAAGCCCCCAGGCCAGGATCAGGTTGCTTTCTCGCCCTGGCTTGTCTGGCAGCTCCGGTGGCCGTCCTTGGAGCCCTCTACCTTCTCCCACCCACGTGCAGGTACCCCTGTGTTCTGCCCTTCCGAGCGCCAGGCCCCAGGCGGCCTGCTCACAAGGGGAAACCCTCCCTCCCAGGCTAGCGAGTCATTGGGGCAATCAGCGTGAACCAGCGTGGTGACAGCGAGCCTGATATACCCAGACTCAGGCACTCACTGGGTCTTGAGGCAGCGCACCCTGGTTCTGATTGCCAGAAATTTCCCCTTCTGTTATACATAAACCAGTCCCCTTCGAACTGCAGTGTCAGCCCCCAGGGCCCCACAAGAGTCCCACAGCCACCTTCCCAGGAGAGCCTTCCAGAAACGGTGAAGTCCTCCACCTCTCCCCCGCCCATCCCCGCCCCCCCATCGTGGTTTTGATTTCCTTCACCATGTGGGTTCTATCTCCGGTTGGTCCATCCCTCTATCCTCAAAGCCAGGAACTGGGGATATGAGCCAGGGATTAATTGCACAGAGAAAGCTTCCGAAAGTCACGGGGGCTATTGGAAGGTCTGAGCTTAAAGATAATTTCCCTTCTCTGCAAAGGCCAGGCATTTAGTCCAAATGGGCAGAGTCAGGAGAGGGCCAGGCCAGCAGGGGACAGGGAGCAGCTACAGCCCAGATGGCCATCCCAGAAGAGCGAGCTACTGTCCCCAGCCTGAGACGCAAGACGGCCACTGATCTCTTCTCCTAGAGGTAAGAGGGGGTGCTGCTGGGGGCCTTGCAAGGGGCTTCAGGGCAGGGCTCGGAGGGAAAAGCAGCCTCGTCCACCTGCCCCATCTCCTGACCTCTCCAAGTTTGGGGGAGGAGCCCTTCTTTTGTCCTCGCTCTGCGACTTCCCATCAGTATTGAACACCGCCATCTGGGTGCCCAGCGCTGTGCCAGGCACTTTCCTGGACCTCTTCTCGGGAATTTTTAAACCTGTGTTTTTATTTTCTTAGAGCAGAAGCCATATATACCGCTGGGTTTTTGTTTTGTTTTGTTTTTTAAGATTACAGAAAGTTACAGCAGAGAAAGAAGCAGTAATGTGTCTCCTCTCACCCCACCAATCCACGGTTCAGTGGGAGTCGTCCCAATTTAAATTAAAAGGGATAGGAATTCAGTAGCAGGCAGAAAAGAAAGTTCATTTTCTTCTCGCTGTCGCTGGCTGTGCCCCGGGAGGAAGACGGTGCTCATCTGCTTGCACAGTGGCTTGGCTGGGAGAGGAGAGCCCGCTGCCCAGCAGAGAACCTCCAAGCCTTCCGAGTTTCGAGTTTTGTCTTGAGGGGCACGGAGCAGTGACTACCTTCCCTCCCCAGCGAAGGCAGCCAGGCCTTCCAGGGGAGTGAGCTGCTCTCTGGGGTCCCAGGGCACCTTGCAGGCACACATAGGACCCAGAATCCCTCCTGTGCGCACCCCCATCCCGCTACATATTTTTATAGCTGGGAGACCTAAAGGTGGGGCTGCTGGTGGCCACGTCCTCAGCAGCGTTTACCTTAGTGTTAACTTGGGGCACACCTTCAAACTCGGTGCACTTGGAGGGCCCCTAAAGTCCGTGGGTGACTCTTGTCCATTCCGGGGAGAGCCATCTGCAGCCAGAGTGGGCACCACCTGCCTCTCCAGGGATTAGCCAGGGACCCAAGCATGGGACGCAACTGGGCACCTG